GCTGCGAATCTGGGACAAATGCTGTCCCAGAGTCATGCAGCCCAGGACTGATGGTGGGACTGATGATCTGGGACTGTCCTGACCAATTAGGGATGGGTGGTCACCCTACGGTGCAGTGGCAATTAATACTGCCACCCTCCCCTGCTTCAAATTCCCAAACCCCAAGCCCCACAGTGGGTTGGAGCCAGGCCCCCTTCCCACCACGTGGCTGGGTTGGAGCCAGGCCACACCTCCTTCTCTTCCATACAGGGATGGGTTGATGCCAGGCCACCCTCCCTTCCCCCACTGGCCACAGAGCTTGGATGGGGCTATGTCAAGCCCCATATGGGACCCAGTTGGGGCTGGGCTGGGCTGCCACTCTCTCCCCCCACTTTGCGTGGCTGGATATGGCCCCGCCATGTCTATCCCAGCTGCTGGATTGGGACCACCAGCCAGATCCGGCCTGTGGATGGACCAGGCACTGCCCAGCTAGCCCATTGGGCAAAAAGGTTGAGCACCACGGCACTAGAACTCAGTCCTGCATGATGTAGGAATTGTTTACAGAGCCCATCATTTTCTGACCTAAATCTAAAACTGACCAACTAACAACTTCAGAAGTGAGAAAGCAAAAAATCCCACCAAAATGGTGAACAGAAACAGTTGTAGGTAACTTGTGAATAAGCAGAATTTAGTGGCAGAGAGATTTTTGTCTGTGAAAGTTTAGAACCAAAAAAGGGATAAGAAAACTTCTTAGGTGAACTGAAAGTTACTTTTACGTTTAAAAATTAATTTTTATATACATTTAAAAGCCAACCAATCATGAAACCATTATTGAAAGGTTTCCATCTACAAACCACCCCAGGAAAAAAAAATATAGAAGCTCTTGGTATACTCTTATTTTATTGGTGTGGGTTTGTTCCACATTTTTATTTCATTTTCTGGGGAGACTGAGGGACATTGTGGCTTATTTCAGGAGAGGTAGGTTTGAGAAGTGTTTTACATTTCATGCTGTGGGTGGCAAGATTCAAAGCAGTTCTAAACTCTTAGGGGAGCAAGCAACACGTTTGCAGGCCAGTTACTAAGTATGTTTTTCCTTCTGTTATTTGGAGCTAAATTTTCTTCAATTTTTGATCTAGATATTTTCAGGGAAAAAATACTGGTCATTCAAAAAATACACATGCCCTCCCTGGAAAATGCTATGACGACAGAAAGAGTGCACATAACATCGTTGAAATGCATTGCACATAAAACATTTTGTTGATAGAAGACGACTAAAAATGCCTATTGGATTTCTAAAACCCGAGGGACAGGTACTGTGTATGACAAAAACATTTCCGGAATCATTATAACTTTCTGTTCACAAGTTTAGAATTTTATAACCCAGAAGATGAACATTTCCTTTTGAGGTCTAGCAAGTCTGATGTTACCTACAAGGTTTAACACACAGTGGTGATAATCATACCATATTTACCTGAATCCAAGACGACCCTGAATTTAAGATGACCCCTCCAATAATTAGATTATCTTCATGGAAAATGTGTATATATAATTAGAATTTCTCATGTATAGAATCTAATTATTGGAGAGTCATCTTAAATTCATCTCTGCCATCACTGCAGTGGGGAAAGCAGTGTCAGGGGGGAAGGCAATAAGGGGACACTAGGGATACAGGTGGTGGGGGGCTAGGCAGGGGAGGTGGCGGCGGTGGTGCAGAGGGGCAAATGGTGGGAGAGGTGGTGAGGGGACAGTGGGGGGATTTTTTGCTTGCTCCCTGCCCCTTGCCCCCCTCCAACATCTTTCCCCCTGCCTCCTGTCTGCCCCCACAGCTTGCCCCCTGCATCTTCAGCTCCCCTTTTCCCAGCAGCCTCTGCTCCCCTGTC